CTGACCCTCAATGTGGTTTTCTCTTTTCTTCTAGTTGTAGAATTTCCACTCCGCCAGCCTTCCTGTAGTTCTGGATGTTGACCGTCCTGTCCTTTTATTGCATTTCTGAAGTTGTTGTAGGAGGTAGCAATCTCGGTTCTCCCCTATGCCGCCATCTTAGTTTCTCCCTACATCTTTTATATTATATTTTAAGGTGGATTCTAGAAGTCAAATTACTAGGTTAAAAAGTATTCAATATCTTTAAGTCTCACATATGTTTTTTACAGTCCTACAGAGAGTTTTAACTCTAAAGAAGTAGATGAGGAACCAAGTCTATCTATAGTAGCTGCATCGAAGAAGCAATATGCGTTTCAACCATTTGCCATCTCACCAACTCCTGTTGTTTCCAAGCTTTCTGCTAAGCTTACATTCTCCAAAATACAAATGCAAAAGAGTCTGCTTGAAGAATACAAAGGCATTGCTGCTGAATTACTGTGTGAACTTGGGGAGACATTGCACCTGTATGCTGAGTATAATATTGCTTTCCCTGTAGGAATTGTAAATCTTGTGAATTACAGTTGGCATGATCTCATTGAAGAAGCTAATAAATATGAAACCAAAATGTCAATGTTGAAGAAACAGGATGCCTTGCAAAGCAATTCCAGTTGCATGATAGTTGACAAAATCAGCAACTATCCAATAGAATGTCATAAGGAAAATCTGATGAAAACAAAAAGAGATCACCACCATTTTGTATCAATTCATCCTATGAAAAAAATATGTAAGTAGAAATTACTAATTAGATTTATAAATAAGAAAAAAAGAATAAAAGTAGCAAGTGAGATATTGACAGAACATTGTATTTGGTTATATTATAGTGATATTTGGTTTGTGTTAATCATTTTAGTAATTCATGAATGTCAGCAGTAAGACATAATTTTTTAAAAATATTTTTATTGATTTCAGAGAGGAAGAGAGTGATAGAAACATCAATGGTGAGAGAGAATCATTGATCGGCTACCTCCTGCCCACCACATGCTGGGATCAAGCCCACAACCCAGGCATGTGCCCTGACTGAGAATCAAACCGTGACCTTCTGGTTCATAGGTCGACGTTCAACCACTGAGCAACACTGGCTGGGCAGACAGAAAAATTTATAGTGCTTTCAGTTCAATATAGCATTCATTATGCTTCATATCCATGTGATATGAAGCCTTTGCCTCAGGAAATCTTACAAATTCTCTCAACAGTAGCATGGTCCAACAGAAAAATGATGCTACCACATAAGTAATTTTTTAAAATTAAACTTTTATTTCTAAGGTAATTACAGACACACATGCAGTTATAACAAATAATGTAGAAAGATCACATATATCATATACCCACATGGCAACATCTTGCAAAACTATTGTATAGTATCACAACCAGGCTATTGATGCAGTCAAGATTCAAAATACTTGCATTACCACAAGGATCACTCATGTCCTTTTGCAGGCAAGACTATGTTCCTCCTGCCCTACCCCCTCTTTAACCCTGGCAACCACCAATGTGTACCCCATTTTAATATTTTTGTCACTTCAAAATTATATGAACTGGAATCATACAATGTATAACTTTTGGTGATAGCCTTTTTTCCAACTAGCTTAATTCTCAGAGATTCATCCAGGTTACATGTGTCAGTCATTTATTCCTTCTTACTGCTCAGCTATATTCTGCAGTATGAATGTATCACAATTTGTTTAACCATCCACTCCTTGAAGGACATCTGGATTTTTCCCTCCCTCCCTCCTTTTCTTCCTTGCTTCCTTCCTTCCACCTTTTGTCTATTAGGAAAGCTGCTTGTATACATGTTTTTGTGTAAATATAAGTTTTGATTTCTCTTTGATAAATACCCAGAAGACAGGTGCTGGGCCGCATGTTAATCTCATGTTTACTTTTATATGTTAAGTGCCAAACTGTTAAATGCCAAACTGTTTTTTTGAGAAGCTGTACTGTTTACATTTCCATCAGCAATGTATGAGTGACATCCTTGCCAGTATGTGTATGTCATCACCTTTTTTTTATTTGAGCCATTCTTACAGACATGTAATGATATTTCAGTGGAATTTTATTCATGCTTATTTTTTCTTTCCTTTTTTTTTAGTTGGTTTTGGAGAGGGGAAGGGGGGAGAGAGAAAGAGAGAGACAGAGACAGAGAAATATTGATTTGTTGTTCCACCTATTTGTGCATTCATTGCTTTATTCTTATATGTGCCCTGACCTGGGATCAAACCTGCAAGCTTGGTATATTGGGGACGACACTGTAACCAGCTGTGCTACCCAGCCAGGTCCTTCACTATGGTTTTAATTTGCATTTCTCTAATGGTTAATGATGTGGAATATGTGTCCTCTATATATCCTCTTCAGTAAAATGTCTTTGCTCATTTTCTAACTGGATTGTTTGCTTCCTTTTTATTTTTAAGAGAAAAAAATTTTTAATCCTCACGCAAGGATATTTTTCCATTGATTATTTGTTTTAGAGAGAGAATGGAAGAAAGAGGGAAAGACAGAGAGAAATAGCGATGTGAGATAAACACATCGATTAGTTGCCTCCTGTATGTGTTCTGATCAGCTCCCTGGCTGGGGAGAAGCCTGCAACCCAACAGAGGTACGTACCCCCCCAGAATCAAACCCGGAACACTTCGGTCTGTGGGCCAATTCTCTATCCACTGAGCAAAACTGGCTAGGGTGTTTACTTTCTTATTGTTGAGTTTTCAGAGTTCTTTATATAGTCTAGATATTAGTCCTTTGTTGTAAATGTGCTTTGCAAATATTTTCTTCCAGTGTATTTTTATGCTTTTCTCTTTTTTTAATTAAAAACTTTAATTTTTAATTTAAAAAATTAATGCAGGTGTCCCCCTTTCTGCCCCTTCCCCTTTGCCCATCTCCACCCACCCCTGCCTCTCCCTCCCTTGGCCTTCACCAAACTAATACCTTCATAAAAATATTAAAATATTGACAGTTAGGCTTTTTTTTTACAATCTAGCAAAATGCTCTTTTTCTTCTCCTTCCCCTCTCCTCATCTTCTTCTTTTTTCCCTTAGCTGTTTTCAGCCAAAAGCAGTATTCCCAGATCTTCCAGGAAAGCAATTTACCTTTTGTCATTCACTTCTCACTGTCGTCCAAGATCTGTTTAGAAAATGGTAAGATCCTTTTACCCACCCAAATCAGGGTCAATTTTGATGAGCAACCAGAGTGAGAATCACTTCCATTCACTGAATTTGAAGCCTTTCTCCCAGACATCCTCTGAGTACCACAATCATAGATTTGAAGTCAAACTTTTCAAAGGTATCACCATCAAACCCAGCTCTTCCTGGTTTCTCCACTCCTGTACCCTGTGAGTTTTTCCTTCATGATTTTGAGGAACTAGTTTAGGTAACAATGACATTTGTGTCCCTAAAAGAGCAACTCAGGGCCCTTCCAACACAGAAACCTACCATTCTGGGTTTGGAACCAAGGCTTCTGTGTTAAAGGCAAAAATAGATTCTTAAATTGTTTACATGTTATAAAGGAGACTGCCCAAGAAAGTTTATGGTTGCCCAAATCTAGAAAGAATGTTCTCTATATCTGAATGAAGTTATAAAAGGGATAAGGTATGGGTTGTTAGGAAAAGGAAAACTTATTATTCCTTGGGACACAAACATAACATAGCTGTGTAGCTCAGAGAATCAGTAGGAGTTGAGGCTGATTGCCATATGTCTTATAGATTTGCTTTTCATGGCCTTTTTATCATAGTCCTAATAACCTTAAAAATAGTTGAAAGGATCTGCTTTTAGATAATGTGTCTAGTGATAAGTGTTCCTTCCACAGCTCCCCATTCTCTATTTATACTTCTGAATTTGATGTGTTGAGGGATCAAAATTTAAAACCAGAACTGTCTCACTGGAGTGGGACAGATATTGAGGAACTAGACCCAGGTGCATATGCTAAGAACAAGCCAGTAGGTATGGCAAAACAGCAAATAGGAATGAAGTAAATCTTAAGGTAATGAGAGAATTCTAGATGAAAATGTCAAAGAATCCAAATATGTGGGTAAAATCCAATGACTGGAAATCCCCCAGCAAGCAATTAGATGGCAAGCGGTGGCCAGCCCACTAGATAATTTGTGAACAAGGAGCAAGGCCTTATCATTGAAGGTCAGAGATTGAAATCTCAAAGTGGGAGGCTGGAAAAACTTACATTATCTAATCCTAAGGAATCCAGTGATGGTGCTTGTTCAGTCCTTCCAGTCTAAAGTTAGGATGGTTCTCATGGTCCTATAGGGATGAGCCTGGAATCTTTAGGCAGTAAGCCACAAGAACCCAACTCACACGCGCTTAAGCAACAAGAGAATTATTTGCTCATGTCTTAGAGGCTAGCTCAGAAGATTAAAGGAAAAATTGCAGAAACAGTGTCCAAGGCAGGATGTGGGACTCACCATGTTCTTTCCACCTCTGCTTGGTTGAATTCTACAGTTAGGCTCACCCCACATAGTAAAGATGGTCACTGCCAGCCATAGGTTCATGTGCTTCCAGATTGGGAAGAAAGTGCTCTCCTTCCCCTACCCACCCAAGGCCCATGTTTCAGTTCTAAATAATGACTCAGATTAGCTCTGTTTGAGTCAAGTGCCCACCCTATGGCCAATCATGGTGGCCTGGGAAATAAAGTAATGCTGTTGGTCAAACCTGGGTCATTGGCTCACGGGTTGCTAGAACGTATTATTGTCAGCCCAACTTGAATCCCATGGGATGGGATTGGGACAATACCTCAAAGTAAGAAAAGTAAACTAGATCCATTGTTTTGGAAGAGAAGAAATCCTGCCCTTAACTTAGGGGTAGGGTGGGGAATGGAGGTGAGGACAAAAGCAGAGAAGAGATACAATGTCCTGATTCAAAATTTCACCTGGAGTTTGTGGTTAAGGCAAAAGATCTGAAGACAGAATAAACAGTATTTGGAAGAAGCTACACCAAAACAATAACAGTGCTTGTGTGGTAAGATTCCATGCCTTCCACCCCTTTCATATCTTCATTTTTAAATTTTTCTTCCATATGTAATTTACTGGTTTATTGAATGGACTAGACTTGGCAGGATGGAATAAAGAAAATGCAAGGTTTTCTCTTCCAAATTCCTTCAAGCCATCTGTGAATCTTTCCATATGTTCACTACAAGGGTAGAATTTTACAAGGGGAGAACATTGGAATTGAAAGACCTTAGAGATCATGTCATTCGGTTCTTTCATTTTGCAGATGAGCAGTCTGAAGCCTAAAGATGTTGAGTACCCAAACAGATTAGAGGGGTAGTCAGGAAAAGGACCCAAATCTATAGACGACCAATAAAATGTTCTCTCCAATACACAGGAATTCTTTACTGAGACGGGGAAACTGAAGACGCTCATCTGTAGGTCTACAGTGTGTGTAGGGATTCTTAAAAGGCCTCTAATACTTGAGATGTCATCATAGGGGTTTAATTCCTTGGAGTTAAAGTCTTGATCACATTTTAGAGCAAATCTCTTTGAGGACAGGTAATTCTTAAGATGATAATTACTTATACTTTAATATAAATGGGTTTTGGTTCCCTTTTTAAGTAGGCTTTGGTAGACTGATGGGCAGGATTTACCCAGTGGGTACTGACTTGGGGTAAATTTTGAAATAAATACCCCTTTTTTATTAATGTCTTTTTTTTTAAAGGTTGGATCCTTCACTATCCTCACACAAAATTGGAAATTCTGAAATGGAAGACAGTCCTTCATATCGCTGTGAAGAAGCTACAAGAAGCCATAATTCAAATGTAGGGAGCCCTATGCAGTCTTCAGAATCATATATTTTTATGAGGCATATGATACAGTAGATAGGCAAGGAGAGGTATAGAGACTATGTGACCCTGGACAAGCCACCCTATTAACCTTGCCTATTGTATTCATAATATGAAAAGATATGTGCACAAAAAAACCCTTCTCTTCCAGGTAACTTGTGGAAGTTTCTCTATAACACATGACTTATCAACCAGCCTTATCATATGACCAGTACAGCATCGTGTGTAACAGTGTTGGGGAAAAGAAGTAGGCAAGGAAAGAAAAGCCAGCTATGAGCAAAATACTGTTCTAAGGAAACATAAAGTCAGTCCCTGTTTTTATGTAAAATTGGAAACTAAACATCTCAGCAAGTTAACAATCAACAGGGGACAAATAAAAGAATTAGGAGGTGATAGCGATAGCAAGCATTGACAAAATACTCTGTGCTAGACAGTCAACCTAGCACTTTACATGTTATCTATACTCCTTAAAACCATGCCAGGAGAGAGGTACAGTTATCATCTCCATTTTACAGACAAGGAAACTAATGTGACACAGATTGTGGCAATTCATTCAGTCATGCAGCAAGACAAAGACAGAGCCAGGGCTGAAACCCAGCTGCATCTGACAGCAAAGTCTACCCACTTTGTTTCTACTCCAGTTCTGTGTGAAAATACCACATACTGTTTGCAGGAATATATTTTGATACATTCTTAGTATTTAAATTTTTCAAAAATTTACAAAAGTGTAAGAAGAAAAAACAAACTTTTCAATAAGGGAATACCTTTTTTTTTTTTTTTACCATTTTGACATATTTTCCTCCAGCTTTTCCATGAGTTACCTGGAAGAGAAGGGTTTGTTTGTGCACATATCTTTTCATATTATGAATACAATAGGCAAGATGATAGGGTGACTTGTCCAGGGTCACATAGGCTCTATACCTCTCCTTGTCTATCTCTCTATATAAACACATACACACCCATACATGTAGTTAAGTACTATTTAAATGCTATGTATTTTACGTGTTTATATATTATCTGTTAAGCTATATACTATCTTTCGAATCCCATTTTGTCCTGCTTTTTCTTTGATAACATGAGCATTTTCCCATGCTGTTAAATTCTTCAGAAATAAGATTTTGCATGGCTGCTTTGAATTAAGTTTATTGTATGGATGTTTCATGCTTTTTTGAACTAGTCTCCTATTATTAAATATTTACATTTGTTCAGTGGTCCCATAAATATTTTTTGTTTCTTGATTCCTTCCTAAAGCTATATTCCTAGAAGTGGAACTTAGTTAAAGTATATAAACATTTTTAAAGTTCTAGAAAGTTACTGCCAAATTGCTTTCTAGAAAAATCATGCCGCTAGCCCTTCATAGTAATGTAGAGAGGCCATCTCAACAGTCTTAGCACTGAATGTAATTCTTAAGGTTATTCAACCTTGATAAATTGATAGACAAAGAATACTCTTAAGTATCTATTTACTAACTAGAGAGGTTTAACTTTCTAAGTATTTTTAAAATATATTTTTTATTGATTTTTTACAGAGAGGAAGGGAGACGGATAGAGAGTTAGAAACATTGATGAGAGAGAAACATCGATCAGTTGCCTCCTGCACACCCCCCACCGGGGATGTGCCCGCAACCAAGGTACATGCCCTTGACCGGAATCGAACCTGGGACCCTTCAGTCCGCAGGCTGACACTCTATCCACTGAGCCAAACAGGTTAGGGCTCTAAGTATTTTTTGATATTTAAAAATATTTCTTCTGTGAACCAGGTGTTCCTAATCTCTGTACCTTTTCTCCCTATGGGTTTTAGAGTCGTTCTTACCTGTTCATTTAAGATTTTAAAGTATTAAGTATATTAATCTTTTGTTATTTGTGATAAATATTCATTTCTCCAATTTATTTCCTTTTAATTTTTTAAAAAATATATTTTATTGATTTTTTACAGAGAGGAAGGGAGATTGATAGAGAGTTAGAAACATCGATGAGAAAGAAGCATAGATCAGCTGCCTCCTGCACACTCCCTACTGGGGATGTGTCCGCAACCAAGGTACATGCCCTTGACTGGAATCAAACCTGGGACCCTTGAGTCCGCAGGTTGACACTCTATCCACTGAGCCAAGCCAGTTAGGGCTCCTTTTAATTTTATGATTAAGATGTCAGTGTTTTAACTTTTCTTATTGTATAATTATCTATGTTTTGTTTTAAGATTTTTCCCTATTTTTTTAAGGTTTAAAAAAATTTTTTAATATATATATTTTTAATTGATTTCAGAGAGGAAGGGGAAGAAGAGAGAGACAGAAACATCAATGATGAGAGAGAATCATTAATCCAATGCCTCTTGCTTGCTTCCTACTGGGGATTAAGCCCAAAACCTGGGCATTTCCCTTGACCGGGGAATTGAACTGTGACCTCCTGGTTCATAGGTCAACACTCAACCACTGAACCACACCAGCTGGGCTTCCTCACTGTTTTATAAGTGGAAAGTCTTTTCTCATTCTGAGATTAGGTAGACCTACCCTATTTTTTATTTCTTTTTTCTACATTTATTTTTTTAAATATATTTTATTGATTTTTCACAGAGACAAAGGGAGAGAGATAGAGAGAGTTAGAAACATCGATGAGAGAGAAACATGGATCAGCTGCCTCCTGCACATCTCCTATTGGGGATGTGCCCGCAACCCAGGTACATGCCCTTGACCGGAATCGAACTGGGGACCCTTCAGTCCGCAGGCCGATGCTCTATCCACTGAGCCAAACCGGTTTCGGCTCTACATTTAGCTGGACATTTTGTTGTGTGTGGTGTGAAGGGATAAGATTCTAGCTTTATTCCTCTGATACCAAAAATAATGATACTGGTATTTATTGGGTGCTAATGCTAACAGCCAGTGTTTATTGAGTGCTTGTTTTGTGTAAAGCACTACATGAAGCAATTTATATGCTTCCATGAGTAAGTTGCTGTTGTTAGGCCAAGGTCAGAGAGCTAGTGGGTGAACTGTTAAGTGGGTGAGTCTGCAGGCCAATTCTCCGTCCATTGAGCCAAATCATCCAGGGGAAGGGAGTGGCTTTTTTGTTTGTTTGTTTTTAACAATGAGAATTGCTGAAGCCGGTAGAATTAGTTCCCAAAGAATCTGTCATATACAAAATCCAAGCTTTAAAAAGAGCACAAGTGAGACAAATTCAAATATGTGTATATATTTATTTAAGAAGAGACATATTTACATTAAAGATAAACCTGTATATATAAAAAAAAAGAGCACAGGTAATTTTACAGTTTGTGCATTATAAAACATTTCTGCAAGCAAAGCAGCTGAATCCTAACATCCCCTGGTTACCAGGGCTAGAGATACCAATGGAAATTAATGGGGCTCCAGAGAGAGTTGACTGCCACAGCCTCTGCCTTGTCCTTGGGGCTTACTGCAGAAACCTGGCCTGTGGAAGACACCACACCACCGGGAGGGTTGTGTGAGTGTCAGGGGACAATCATGGTTCTCTAGGGCCCCGTAGAAATGGGGTCTTGGTTTGGTCAGTATCTGGCAGTCATGGATAATGCCTGCCTTTCCAGTCAGTGTGGCCATGGGATTTCAAGTGTCTTACTTTGTGGCAGGATTTTGTGTGTGACTTTTTTTTTTAATGGCAACTATTCCTGGGTTGCAGTAAACTTTCTGAAGCCTCAGCATTGTGTTCGTATTAGCCATCAGGAAGGTCTCCAACTAGAAATACCTGTCCCTGCTTGCTCCTTCTCCCTGTCATCATTTAGCATTCTTGTCAAGTTGCTCAGCTTGGAGGTGTCTGTCATGCACTAGTGTGCCGTGGTTATAGCTGGAAGAGCAGGCCTCTCCTGAGGATGCTTAATTAATAGCTTGAGGAGAAGGTCTTCTTTCCTACTGCCTAGGTAAGCAGTCTGGGGAGAGCATGGGCATCGCATTTCTATGTTTGCGGGTATCTGGTCCAGGTAAGATTGGGCCTTAGGTAAGATTCCCCTTGGGACATCCTCATTGTTTATTAGCTTCTAGCTAGTGTAAGGCAAGTGCCAGAATTTGGAGATCTCAGTTCTTGTCATGGCTTTTTTTATCCACTGTGACTAATAAGCTTCCTAATAAATCCTTGCTAAACTTAAAACAAAACAAAACACATACACACCCATACATGTAGTTAAGTACTATTTAAATGCTATGTATTTTACGTGTTTATATATTATCTGTTAAGCTATATACTATCTTTCGAATCCCATTTTGTCCTGCTTTTTCTTTGATAACATGAGCATTTTCCCATGCTGTTAAATTCTTCAGAAATAAGATTTTGCATGGCTGCTTTGAATTAAGTCTATTGCATGGATGTTTCATGCTTTTTTGAACTAGTCTCCTATTATTGAATATTTACATTTGTTCAGTGGTCCCATAAATATTTTTTGTATGCTTGCTGGATGAAATGCATTTTTAGGCAAATCAGAACTGTCAGCCTTTTTACCCTACCACATTTCTACCACACTTGCTACACAGACATTATAGATGTTCAATATCAAGTCAGACCCAAAGAAAATTAAAGGCAGAAAGAAAGAGTTTTTTCTAACCCCAGTGGCAGTCCACACTGATATAGACTCTGGATTTATCACAGGAAGTCCGGTCTAACAAACATAGTGAACCCTCCCATTCTAGACCAGATCCCAAGGCACATTCTCCAGACAGGTCTACCTAGACCTTTTGTCTGAGCCTGAGTCAGATCTCTGGGCCTTACCTGGTGAAGCTCTAAGTGCTCTGATTTCACTCATATTCACTGTTAGAGGCTGGTGATGCAAAAGCACTGCCCTGGGAATCGCAGACTTGCTCCTAACCCTGACCCTGTCATTCCTTAGCTGTGTGACCAGAGTACAAGGATCAGTGTCTGTGAAGGTCTAGAGAGCCAAGATTGGAGTCTACACAGTTTTCATGCTCCCATTTACCAACCATGGGATTTGGGGTACTTAGCTTCCTTTTCTCATATAAAACAGGGATCCTACTAGAATCTGCCACATAGGATTGTTGAAAGCATTAAATGAAATAATACAGCTAAATACTGTAGGAAAGCCCTAGTCAGTTTGGCTCAGTATATAGAGCATTGATCTGCAGACTGAAGGGTTCTGGGTTTGATTCCAGTCAAGGGCACGTACCTCCGTTGCAGGCTGCTCCTCAACCTGGGCCCTGGTCAGGGCGCATGCTGGAGGCAATCAATCCATGTGTTTCTCTCACATTTCTCTGTCTTTCCCTCTCTAAAAATCAATAGAAAAATATCCTCAGGTGCAGATAAAAAAGAAATGCTATTGTAAATGCTCATTAAACAGTAACTATTATATAGCAATTATTCCTTTTTCTGTACTTTGGCTCCTTCATCTGTAAAATGGTAATAGGTATTCTCCAAACATTTCTTCAATTCTTGCATTCAGTGGATGCCCCCACCGTAAGGAATTTAGCTTACTATTAGACTCTTAGGCCTATTAGATTTGAGGTAATTTGAGGTATAGTTCCCTTTCTATTCCAGCTTCTGTCTTAGAGTGGTATAAATACCAGAGGGCTGGCATAATTGGGGAACATCTGACTTAGAGAAGGACTGTGTCCTTAAGTCCTAGCAATGACTTTTCCTGGGGATGACCATCACCTGAAACTTTTGAGAAATGTGCAAGTGTTAGGACTGCTTTTTTGAATTAATCATCTTGGTGTTGGTAATCATCACCTGTTGGAAAAACCAGAGGCCAACTTCTGGTCCTTAAGCAAGAAGAGAGTTAGACCATGGCCACTGCCAACATTTTGAGAAAAAGCAGAAAAGAGGCTCTTTGCTTGCATGGGAAGCTGATTAGTCTTAAAGCAATGACTAAAAGACTCTCTAGAAAAGGAAGCACTGTCTTTAAAAGGGTAATGAGGAACTTTCCTGAATTACAGCTGCCCCCTCTGACTATTTAAGTAATGTGGCATTTATAGAATGCAAGAGATTTTGCGTTGGGGTTTTTTGCACTGGAGCTTTTTATCTTAATTTTTGGTCTTATTGGTAAGGAGGTGGAGTGTGCCTTTTTTCTTCCAATGATTATAGATGTTTACACTTTAGTGGCATTCTTACCTTTCTTTTAAGAATAATCCAAAAGATTCATTTGTGGAGAGTCACAGAAAAATAAAATCATGTTTAGGCATTGAATGAAAGGCCAAGATTAGGCTTGGAGAATAGTAATTAGACTCGTGTTCCCAGTGGATTATAATTGTGTGCTGTTAAACTGATATTGTACCATTGATGCTTATCAATGGAGAGGCATGCATGTTTTGGTGTGGGGAAAAAATGGCAATCTATAAGGTCTTTGCTTTTGTCATATTGTTCGATAATTTTGCCTACTCACCTCATTTTTGACAGGAAAGATTCATTTGTGGAGAGTCACAGAAAAATAAAATCATGTTTAGGCATTGAATGAAAGGCCAAGATTAGGCTTGGAGAATAGTAATTAGACTCATGTTCCCAGTGGATTATAATTGTGTGCTGTTAAACTGATATTGTACCATTGATGCTTATCAATGGAGAGGCATGCATGTTTTGGTGTGGGAAAAAATGGCAATCTACAAGTGCTTTGCTTTTGTCATATTGTTCGATGATTTTGCCCACTCACCTCATTTTTGACAGTGGGATATGTTTTCATGAGAATATGGGAAAGAAAGGAAGGAGCAGCAGGAGGAGGAAAGCAAGAGAAGAGACAAAGGGGGAAAGAGAGAAAGCTGTTGTTCATTAAGCATTTCCATTTTCCAACTACGAAGTGGCAGATTTGGTCCTTGCCCATCCTCCTGGCTCTGGTTCCTTCCACTGAGATTTGCTTGTTTGTGTGTTTGGGTTTTTTATTTATTTTGTTTATTTTTTATTTTGGTTAATCCTCACCCAAAGGATATTTTCCATTGATTTTTAGAGAGAGTGGAAGGGAGGGGTTAAAACAGAGAGAGAACATCAAACATCAATGTGAGAGAGACACATCGATTGGTTGCCTCCTGCATGCCCACCACTGGGCCGGGGATGGAGTCTGCAACTGTCCTATGTGCCCTTGACCTGAATCGAACCGGGGACCCTTCAGTCTGAGGGCCAATGCTCTATCCACTAAACCAAACCAGCTAGGGCTTGTTTGTGTGTCTTGAGTTCCACTCTATGATGCTGTTAGAAATGTCCAAACTGCTTACTCTTCTCTGGGAAGGTGGCTCCTCCTTCCCCTAGTTACCTTCCTAACACTTCTGTTTATTCTCTAGTGTTGATCATGGATCTCCCACATTGAATGCCCATATTTTGTCTTAATAATAGAGAAGCCCAGCAGCCCACTTTTGGTTGCTGGGGTTACTGAGTAAAAGCAAGCCAGAAGCCCATGTGGATATTAAGAAGGTGGTGTTGGTCACCAAGAGAACTAAGACTGTCTCTTTAGTGTATGACCTCTGCTTTGCCAGCCCGACTCTGGAGACTTCTACTGGCATGTTGCCAACAACTACCTGCTACTTGGGTACACGAGTGTGTAGGAAGCTGGGCAAGAACTAGGAAGGTCTGCTTCATGACTGACCCTCAGATACAGAGCCCTGGCGGGTCTGCATTTCATACTGTGCCCACAGCTCCGACACTAAAAATGTGGGAAATAGTATCATGAAGTGGAGAGATTCGAGTAGAGAGTTTGGAGTGAATATGCATACACTGAAGCCTGGCTTTCCCATACTCAGCTGCGTAACTTGGGCGCTCTCTTTAGAATGGAAATAGATAGCATCTTTCTCATGAATTTTGCCTGTGGAAGACACCTAGTGAATATTTGTGGATGGTTAAATGAATGTTCTAAGAGGCTACCTTAATTTCAGGGTCTAGTCTAAAACCTAGAAGCGAGGTTGTTTCGTATTTACCTAATCTTCCTCTTTATTACCTTATTATTAATAAACATGTATGTGTATAATCCCCACTAAAATGTAATGAAAACAACTAGTATTTATAGAGTGCATGCTAAATACTGAGGTCCGTGCATTAACCAGAGATTCCTTACAATTCTGTGAGGTATTGCTATCCATATTTTACAGATGAAGAAAGCAAGGCTCATAGTTTAGTACTTGGCTTACTTTCTATGGTCCCAAGTGGCAGTGCCAGGATTCATCTCAGTTCTCATCCAAAGCCTGTGCTGTGTCATACCGCTCCTATAGGGACAAAGGCTAGAGATTGTGGGTTCAATTTCCAATCAGGGCACATACCTAGATTACAGGTCGCATCTCTGGTCTGAGCAGAGGCAACTGAGAGATCTCTCTCTCTCTCTCTCTTTCTCTCTCTCTCTTTCTCTCTCTTTCTCTCTCTCTCTCTCTCTCATTAATGAACATATCCTCAGGTGAGTATTGAAAATAAAAAAGCCCACTAGAACAGCCATTGGCCATCCTCCAGCCTTTGATAAAACCAAGCAATTAGCCAAGTCTCAAATTCTTTTCTTTTGAACAGCAAAACAGAAGCAGCCAAGCTGAAGAAAGAGGGATTCAACAAACGACTTATTCTGCGCCACTATAATGATCCTAAACAGGAGGCAGAGGTGGACAGTAGTCCCCTCGGTTCTCAATATTTCTGGCTGGAGCTGCTGAAGGGGAAGCCTCAGATGCCAGCAGTCCAACAGGATGACCCAGGGATGAAAAAGTTCCATTACGCCTTGATAGACGGTTCCTCCATGATTTAATATCCTTGTGAAATTCCAAAGGGAAAGAAGGATAGAGGGGGCCAGGAATGGTAGAAGAGGCTGACAGGTGGGGTGTTTCTGTTTCATCAGAAATTTCCAAAAAGGACGTCTGAAGCCTTGTGCTTATTCAGTCCCTTTCTCCCAGAGGTCCGCATTCCCTCATTCTGGGGGAGCGGGAGAAGTCAAAGAGGTTGAGACAAATTCTCCAGTTCACAAACTCTACTTCTATTTAAGAAAACCTCTGGTTATAACCAGTCTTTTTGTTAAGCACCTGAGTGCTCATGTGGTTCTGAGAAAATGAGTTTTCCTTGCATTTTCTGATTAGTAGAGAGGATGGCATGGGGATTTAGCATCTAGAAAATCCAATTTAAAGAGAAGAGGGCATTTGTAATAAATTCTTACAAATCCAAAATGAAATAGACCTCAAGAGTCTGTCATAGTTTTATAGAGGTTGGTACAGCTAGGTCTTTTAAATTGTTCACATATCCACAATTATCCCTTAGCCTTCCTTTGCTCCTGTCTGTCCATAGACATTGGTGAGGAGATCCTGTCCTCCTGCTGTGTGCTGGAATGACCACACCCTGCAATGCTGGGTACCAACGGGCAACTTTGGTTTTCAGCAACTTTGCCATTAACTGGACCAGTCTGACCAGACTTACCTGTTGTTACTCACATGGTTGATTTCAAAGAATTCAGGGCTAAAATGAGGGTGCAGGTAATTGAGTGTATGGTAGGAACATGCAACTGGGAGTCAGGGAACCAGTGTGCTAGCCTGGCACTATCATGCTCAGTGACTATGGGGTATTGAGTCACCCTCTCTGGACTTCTGTTGTGTTATCTGTAAATAGCTAATTGAAATAATTGACTAAGAATTAATGGCATTCTATATAAGAATAATTATTATCATTATTGTGTGTTTTATCAATATCAGTTCCTTAACCTTGATTTTATCTATCCGTCTGGCCGTGTAGCTGTCTGTCAAAGCTATTCTGCCCTCCCTTGGGGTGGCATGTACACCAACATATTCAGTGACTTGCCAGATCAAGTTATCCTTGGGACATTTACACCTTTTGGATGTGGTAGTATTTCTTTTCCTAAGAGGTACGTGAGATTCCAGACAAACTAGAACTTGTGGGTAAGTTAAGGGGTAGAGAAAGAGCTAAATCCTAACAAAGGGGAGGGTAGGAAAGCAATATTTTAGATGGTCAATCTAATTGGGAAAACCGGCAAGGAAAATGAAACATACACATGTGTTCATGACTGTTCCATGTGTGAACTTGCAAATCAGAACAAGCCAAAAGACGTTGGGTGTCAAAAGAATCCAATTGAGCCATTCATGAAGAGATGCTATGACTCTTAAGAACAGGGGGACCTATATGAATGCAAGACCTCCAAGAATGCACAGGTTGGGAGCTAAAACAGGGAGGCTGTTAATGGGTGAGCCAGGTGTCAGCTGGGCATGTCTGACCCCTTAAGAACTAGATACACTGACAGGACTCCCATTTCACACCCCATTAAACGTTGCTTGTCCTCCTCAAAATTTCTGCAAATTTCTTAGGGGTATGATCTTGTGGTCTCCTCTAGTTTTGAAACCCTGCCTTCTCTGAATATTGTTCTCTACTTTGTCTTGTGTCTGTGAGTTTATTTTGGCTTTTTATTTTTTTTAAATCTTTATTGTTGAAAGTATTACATATATCCCCTTGCTCCCCCGCTCCATTGACCTCTTCTAGTATCCCCCACATCCCCACCGCCCTTCACCACCCTATTGTCTGTGTCCATGGGTTATGCATATATGCATACACATTCTTTGGTTGATCTCTTCCCACTCACCCACCCTCCCCCAACTTCCCTCTGAAATTCCACAGTCTGTTGCATGCTTATCTTTTTATTTGAGCCAACTGGGGAATTTTCTCCTTTCCTTGACTTTCATACACTGTTCACCAGAGGCCTCTGTGAGGGTAGCAGAATTTCTTGGTGGTTTGAGTTACCTAGCATTCCCATTAAAAATGTCATGTACATGAACAGTGTAAATACTTGGAAGTTTTAAAATTTTCAAATTCACCTATTTGCTGAATTTGAATTTTTTGAATGAGTCCCAAACACATATTTTTCCCATACCCTGTGTTTTGACTTCTCTTGGTTACAAGACCCTGGGAGTTGGGAGTTAGGTCATCCAGAAAGCAAGGAACTCCCTTCTTTTTTCTTAACCAGTTAATAAATATGTGTTTGTGTATTTCTGCCATTTTCAGCACTTCATATACACTGACCATGCTTCTGGTGAAGCCCCTTCTCCCTGATTCCTTTCCTTGGCTGTTTTTATGAGCCAAATCACCTGTCAAAATGTGTCAACAGCTTGCCAGCTGAGAAAGTGCAGGTCAGCAAAAAGCTAAGAGAAATAAAAGGCTGGTGCTTGATTCTCAAGATGCAAATAGAAAAAGAGGCAGATTAATGGGGCAGCAAAGTGCCTCAGTGAGTGGCATGTATACACCTGTCCTTGGTGGGGAAGAGCTTTTCCCAACTTTGATGTTGAGATGAAAAGAAGATGACAGAATCAGGAAGCATTTCAAAGGCTGAGAAAGCACATACTTTCCTCTCCCAACCCTAGTAGTTGAACAGTTTTGAAAGAGTCGGAAACACTATGTAGTTTTTATGGCATTTTAACTTTCACATCTTATTCTGTGACACTACAGACAAAGTGGAAAAGTAACAATTTTTTTTATGAAGAACAAATATATTTTACTTGATTTTTAAGGGATTGTTAAAGTTAGATTCTTTTTTAAAAAATATATATTTTATTGATTTTTTTACAGAGAGGAAGGGAGAGGGATAGAGAGTTAGAAACATTGATGAGAGAGAAACATCGATCTGCTGCCTCCTGCACACCCCCTACTGGGGATGTGCCCACAACCAAGGTATATGCCCTTGACCGGAATCGAACCTGGGACCCTTCAGTCCGCAGGCCGATGCTCTATCCACTGAGCCAAACTGGTTAGGGCTAAAGTAAGATTCTTTAGAAACTTTTCTGGTGAGCTAGCTTAAAACATCTCCCCTTTATTAATTGCAGACATATATCACTTTAAGTCAAGAAAGCCCTTTTTTTAAAAAAAGTCAAGAGGTAACTTTTTGCCTAGCCATCATGGCTCAGTGGTTGAGCACTGACCTATAAGCCAGGAGGTCACAGATCAATAACCAAGAGGTCCCCAGTTTGATTCCCAGTCAGGGCATATGCCTGGATTGGGTTTCAGGCTCAACCCCTAGTGGAGGGCGTGCAGAAGGCAGCCAATAGATGATTCTCTCTCATCATTGATGTTTCTATCTCCCTCTCCCTCTCTCTTCCTCTCTGAAATCATTTTTTTTAAAGAGATAACTTTTCCATGTTTTTATTTTTCCCAGGAACCCTATGGTTAGGTCTAATTCCCACTTGAGGAAACTGAGGTTCAAAAAAGTTGTATACCTTTACCAAAGCCCTGTATAGAGAAAAGCATTGGTTAGTTTTCAGACTCTAATTGTGATGTGCTCTTTTCTCTTTCCAACCCTTAACATGTTGAGAGAGAGTATATACTACATGAATAATAATAATAAGAGTAGATGCTATAATGATGATGATGATGGTGGTGGTGGTGATGATGATGGTGATGCTTTGATTATGAATATGGGCTTTGGGGTTAGACATCTGTCACTTGACTAGAGCAACAGGGCAACTGGGGCATATGTCTCCAGTATCTGGCAGGCTTGCTCAGGTTTCTTCACATGGCGGCTGAGTTCTAAAAGCAACAATAGTGAAGATGAATCCCCAGTGCATAAGCACTTTTCCAGCCTCCTCAAGCATCGCGTTTGCTAATGATTCCCTGGTCAAAGCAAGTCACGTGGCCAAATCAGGAGATGGAGAAAATACTCTTACTCTTCTTGGGAGAAGCTGCAAACGATTGCAGCATTTATTTATTTATTTATTTATCTTTCTTTTTGCGTTTGATCACAAGGGCAACACCTGAATCTAAATTATTACTTCTCTCTCTCTGTCTCTTCCTTCTCTCTTTCTCTCTTCCTCTCTCTCTCCCTCCCCCCTTTGCCTCTCTCCATCCCCAATTCTATTTTGACCAATTATAGTAGAATTTGAGAAGTATAAACACATATAAGATGGATCATACTAGAATTCATCTGTTAACCACCAATCCCTCCTTTCAAAGGTTTCGATGAAAACTCACAAGGCTTGATTCTCTTCTTTCTCCTGGTTTTGGTCTAGATATTCTTATACTCTCACCTGGAAGTCTATGTCATCCTGTAATTCTTTTCTATATCCTGTGTTGGTACAACCTGGATTGATCACTCCCTTTTATCTTAGGTCTCTCCCTTTTATCTTCTGCTCATAAAGCTCAGACACTCTGAAGTCTGTATTTTTATAGCTTTTGTGATTTCTGCTCTTTAATATTCTACAGAATCCCACACTTTGTGAACCAATTAACAGTCACTCATTATTCCAATCCCTCACCTACAACCCTAGACAACTACTAATTTACTTTCTGCCCCTATAGATTCGTCTATTCCAGATATTTCCTATAAATGAAATAATATAATATGTGGTCTTTTGTGACTAGCTTTTTTCACTTACCATAAAGTTTTCATGGTGCATCTATGTTGTAGCATGTATTAGCACTTAGTTCTTTTTATGGCCAAATAATATTCCATTGTGTGGCTATACCACCTTTTGTTTCTCCATTCATCTGTTGATGAACATTTGTGTTGTTTCTACTTTTTGGCTTCTATGAATAATGTTGTTGTGAACATTCATGTATAAGTTTTATGTGGACATATGTTTTCATTTCTCTTTGGTAAATACCTACGAGTGGAATTGCTGGGTCATATGGTAACTATTTTATTTTATTTTTTACTTTTTGAGAAACTTGCAGACTGTTTTCCAATAAAACCTTTTCTAACCACCTTTTTTTAAAAAAAATTTTGAAATAGCAGATTGACACAGTGCTTTATTTCAGCTGTCTGTACAAAGGAAGATAAGGAGCACCCCTATCTGATATGTGTAAAAATATTAAGGATGTACAATGTACAAAAACAGTTTTTTGTCATTAGTTCATATCCTTGTGGGTCATGTACTTGAGGGAAGAAACGGGGTTTTTTGGTTTTTTAAAATATATTTTTAAAAAATATACATTTTATTGATTTTTTACACAAAGGGAGAGGGAGAGTTAGAACCATTGATGAGAGAGAAACATTCATCAGCTGCCTCCTGCATACCCCCATTGGGGATGTGCCCGCAACCAAGATACATGTCCTTGACCGGAATTGAACCTGGGACCCTTGAGTCCGCAGGCTGATGCTCTATCCATTGAGCCAAACCAGTTAGGGCAAGAAACAGTTTTAATATGACTGACAGTAATAGTGATACAATTCCTGACGTTCATAGTTGCGTCTGCTTAAAACCCTTAACCAGATGTCTAGATCTTGCACAGATCTAATGAAAGAACTAGCAAGGTCAAGAAATGTCACAAACTCTAAAGTTGCTGGGAGGTAATTCAATGACCAATTTAGAGGTTTTCTTTTTATTTAAATAAATACTTTACATTTCATGTTTGCCTATAAAGCATTCCCAAGAGCAAGATAAGGAGATTCTACCAGAAATGGTACAAAGAGTAGCAACAAAGTGTGGACACTGAGGTGTATGGAGACCCTGCAGTTAGGAAGGAAGGCCTTTGTCTGTCCTCCGGAGAAGGAAGTAGCCCCTGTGAGAACAGTCTAAGTCCCATCCTTTCCTTTTTATTACTCTAGTGATGACTTTATTTATTTATTTTCAGTACTAATCTTTTTTTTTAAGTATAAATATTTATTTTTATTTTTTTATTAAATCTTTATTGTTCAGATTATTACATTTGTTCCTCTTTTTTCCCC